TCATAAAAATCATTAATTGTTTAAATTTTTTTTGTTTTTTTTCAGAACTAGACAATGCCTTGTTATGTCTGATGCGAGAGGACCCGAGTCTGCAAACTAGAACGGATGAAGATACTGGGCAGGTAGTTTAATTTCTCATTCTGTTTTTACTAGTTTGATAAGTTATGTTCAATTTAAATGTCTGTGCATTGTTTTTGCATACCCTTTCTTAAAATGTGACCTGTGAATGGTTGAATTCTTGCATATTCTATGTTGACAGCCAATCAGTGCCACCCTAACAAAATGTTGTGGTTTTTCAAATCTAACCTGGCGGCCAATCCAGAAAGATGAGTGTGGCTGTACAGCTGTGAGGTTCTATTTCATTTATCCTATGATTCTCTACTTACGCATAATTGCACTTTTACAAACACCATGGGCTGCTTTCTATATATTTCAAAAAGGGATGGATAGATATTTTTTCATGTTTTCCTACTTTGAAAAATTCATTCCTTTATTACATTATTGCCAACAAACCCAGCGTACATAAACTACAGTGTACACTCATGGTTTCTGAAAAGGTGGGTGCATCCACTAAAATCATCACTAACCATGTTAAAGTCCGAGACTAATTTTTGTGAGAACTGCAGTGTACATACATGTCATGTACATACAAGTCTGTCATGAATTATTATGTTTCGAAATATGTTCTGCTATTTGTAACCAAACAAGTTGTTATTTTCAAGGAACAGTTGGGTCCCTAAGTTAAAATATCTTGGGGTCAGCATGCTCCTAAAAAGAAATTCTAATGTGTAGGACTGTAAGGGGTTAGTCATAAGAAAGTTAAGGGAGAATTGTAAAATTTAAAATTTTTATTGAAAAAAATAATTATTTATAAAATTACAGCATAATATACAATGTATGTGAAAAATAAAAATGAAACTCAAAAGTCAATGAAGGAATAAGGTAATTTGCGCTTTCCTTCTCTCGTAGTTTCTCTCATGGTCAACTGTTAAACAATATGTGTTTTTACAGACAGTGCTACTTGGCATGGGGGAGTTGCACCTGGATATAATCCGTGACAGAATCCAGAACGAGTATGGCATTGAGGCAGAACTAGGCCCTCTACAGGTGTCTTACAGAGAAACAATTACAAAGCCTTCAGAGGAACAGAGTGAGTGTTTAGGGTTGCAACATTATGGTGTGGGGATTGTAGAAGTGAAAGGAGGGGTGATTGATGGCATTCCTAGTTCCTGTATGGACATTGTAAGAAAACTAACATTCCTTCTATGTCATCGTCTGTCCACTGTAATTTCCTACATGTATTTATAGTGTAATTTCCTGGGGATAATTTCATTCAAACTTGACCATCAGATCACATGGCTTCCAAATGCATGAATTTTGTAATGATCCATGGCTGATCAGTGGCCATTTTGTGGCATTTTTGTCAAGTATAAATTTGAAGTTATCTTTTGGATACTAGAAAGCATTTCTATAGCATTTATTCAGAATAACATAGAGATAATGATAGGAAAGCTAAACTGGTGTTTACTTTTCAATATTCTGTATGAACATGGAAAATCGCTTTTCCTGTTGACAGTCACTTTGGACAGAACAATTGGTAGCAAGCACCACAATGTTACAGTGACCTTGAAAGTAAGCCCAAATCCTGGATCTGGTGTTCTGGAACATGTTATGGTATCATTGGATCATCCGGAACAAAGCTATGGTAGTGAAATGATCGAAGCAGTGCAGACTGGGGTATTGTCTGCTTGTACTCAGGGTAAGTGGTACATGGAAATGCATTGTGGGAACAGTATGATTAAAGCAGTGCAGACAGGGGTATTTTCAATTTGTACCCAGGGCAAGTGATACACGAAAATGCCTTATGGAACTGGTGGTTGTCAGAGCAAATAATTCCTGTGGTATAATTTCTTATGATTCACAGATTATGTGATATCAAAATGAACTCTGTTGTGTAATTGTCGTCATATAGAATTCAACACTGCCTTTATTAGTAGCACTTATATAAACGACAGAGGTGTGTCTCTGTCAAAATAAATCATATTAAAAGTATACAACAAAAAAATAGAGCAAATCTCTCTAAAATAAACATATTTTTTTATTGAACAAGACACTTCGCGATGAGCGTCTTTTGCGGTCAGTAATATTTACGAACATTTTTGTTCACTATTTGCGATCCACTCCGCTAGGATTGCCCTTGAAATCAATTTTGTGTGTCTGTGTGTGTGATTTCAAGTGTTTTCATGTATTAATTCTTCTGTGATTTTGTTGGCTTGGCCTATTTCCCTCAAACTTGGCAGGCAGGTCACACCATCACCCTAGTTATTAGGTAAAATCTTAAAAAAAATTTGGTCCACCGTTGCCATAATAACAGCCAAACAAGCAGCCTCTCGGCTGAGATAGCTCCGCTGTTAGCAAGGCACATTTCAATTAAAGAACTGAAGATATCATTAGAAAATGAACAATATGTACAATGTATAGTACCAAAGCAATGGGACTTGCTGTTTTCAACAAAAATTCAAAAATATTACTTTTTACCAAAAATGCAAAATATTTATCAAAATTAGATAATTGAAGATATCATCACAAAATGAACAAATATGAGAGAGGTTTACCTGAGGTACCTATATGTATAATAACAAAGCAATCAGACTTACAGTTTTCAACAAGAAGTCGAAAATATCACTTTTTACCAAAAATGACAAAAGTATTCACCAAAATTAGAGAATTGAAGATATTATCATGAAATGAACAAATCTGAGAAAGGTCAACATGTAGTATCTATATATGTAATATCAAAATAATTGGACTTGTGGTTTTTAACAAGAAGTCAAAAATATCACTTTTTATCAATAATTACAAAAATATTGTCCAAAATTAGAGAATTAAAGATATCATCACGAAATGAACAAATCTGAGAAAGAACCATCCAAGGTACTTGCATATCAAATTTGAAAACAGTCTGACATGCGGTTTTGAAGAAGTTGAAATTGTAACGTTCATGACGACGACGACAATCAGTAATATGAACAGCTCCGCTATGTTGATAGCTTCGTGCCAAATGTATCTCCTCCTACAAATTTAGAATAAAACTCCTCAGACATAGCTCATTCTACTCAGCTTGAGTGTGGGCACAAAGTTACTATTTGAATTTTTGATATTGATCTTATTTCATTACCGAGAAATTTGACTCTTCTGTGATTTTTTTGGCTGGGTCGATTTGGTTCAAACTTGGCAGGCAAGTCACATCTTCACTCTAGTTAGGTTGTAAAATCTGAAAACAAATTCTGGTCCATCGTTTCCATGGCAACAGCCAAAAAACTGATTTTTTAGAATACCTTCGCGCCAAATGTGTCTCACCCTACAATTCTAGGATTACTCAGCCTGAGTTTGGGCATACATTTACTGGTTGTTTTATGTCTATTTTCATTACCAAGAAACTTGACCTCAAAGTTGGGGTAACTTTTCATCAGCAACGGCTTTTAACTGTTCTGTGTTTTTTTTTGCTTGACTGATTTTGTTTATACTTGACAGGCAAGTCGTACCATCACTAATTGAAAAAAAAATTCTCGCTCACCGCTGCCATGGCAACAGCCAAAAACAGATTTTTGAATACTTTCGCCCCAAATTTATTACTCCTACCAGTCTTGTAATAGCAGTGTTCATATGATCATGTTTTTTTTTATTTTGGCTTCGTTGCACACTGGTAAGAGATCACTGGCGCCAACATTGTTACACTGTATCAACGTAATCCCAACGCAACTTTGAACTATGAATGAACTGTAAATGATGCCTTCAATCTAGAAAATACTATCGGAAAACGGTTGGAAATAATCAATTTAACAGTAGAATATGTCCTAGCAATAAAATAAAGTGACTTCTAAAGACTGAACATTTTTTTGCGATCTTCGTATATGGGGCCCGGTTTTAGTTATCAACCCAAGTTAGCTTCATGTTCATGTCCTACCATGGCAAAAACATGATGTTGCTTGTTTTTGAGCAGAGCGGATCGCCAACCAGCCTACCGGCTTGTTTTATAAACTGGCTTGGCAATTCCCACCACCAATTAGACCATGTCACACAGCATTTTGGCTAATTTTCCAACAAATCCAAAATCACTCGATAATTTTATTTACTTTACATTTGTCCTATGATTACATTTTAAGTTTTGATAATTTTAATGCATACATGTACACTCACAAAAATACCCCCAAAAATTTAGTATATAGCCTTGAAAAAAATATTTCATTTTTTTCTATCTGTGTTACTTCATGTGGAAATCCTTATGAGATTTAAAGTTCAGTTCACAACTAACGGTTTTGCAATATTAGAGGCTGTGAACTTGTCCATGGAGGCTGCAAATTAATAAATATTGTATTCACTGACATTTATTTTGTATTTACATTTGCAATGAGTTCCACAGTATCTTTTTCTTACTGGTGACAGTGACTGTGTAGTGTTTTTGTTTTGTCGATTGTTGTCAGTTATTTGTTTTGTGTTCTTGGAATTTTGTACAAAAATCAACAACGGTTAAATAGGTATGTTATTTCCATTTTCCAGTATATCGAAGACAGTACTTGTATACTTTGTTATCCAGCATAAATATCAGATTGTTCGGAAGCATGAGATTGTAATGGCGCGATTGTAATGTAAATTTTGTTCATTAATGTTGTAAGATGACGCTTTCTCCGGGGCCTTCAGAGTCCCATGTTGACTATGTCCCGGCCTGTTTACTTGTTGTCAGTGTCTGAGTGGTATATACAAAATATGACCATTTGCTTCTATTCCCACTATCCTAAAATGCTCAAGTGAATGTTCAAGTCAAATTCGCGAGGGTGCATATTTTCGTACAGCATCGTTCGAATCGCATGGTCCCGTGTCTTCGACCTATAAGCCTCTACACGATACCGTGCGGGATTGCATAGTCTAATTGCGTATCTTAAGCAGTGAGATCTTATTGGGCGCGCCTCGAAACAAGGCGCCCAATCAGCTTGGACGTACCAAATTATAAAACAAAATTCCACTTCCTGTTTTTGTCGCTATGAAGACATCCTTCCCACACAAAACTGCGTCAATTGCCTGTACCTGATGAGGCTTGAGGGCACCAACACCGGAAACTTTTGCAATTTTATCATCACAAATATCACGATTCATGGGCACCGCCATTTTGTTCAAAATGAAATGCCAAAGAGGGATTTGTAACATGCAAACTGATTGGACAATGATTAGCCGCAACTGACTACTGGGGGCGCTGTTAGAATTCGCATATGATGGTCGTTCTGCCAAGGTCTGTTTAGAGGCTTGGCCGAATAAACTTAGACCTTGGCAAGCGAAGATGTCGTACAGTGGCGTAAACATTGCTACAATCAAAGAAGCGCTGAACAGAAAGTCAATTCTGGCCTAGTACCATTGTCAAATTCTGGGGAGTAGAAGACTATTTATATGGGAGACCTTACAATAAAAATTAAAATTGTTCGATTTGCATATCAAAATTCTTTATTCACCAAAAAACAAAGTTGTTATGTTTCTAGACACACAACAGACTCGAAACAATAAAAACTGTGCGATCTGCATTCTTAAAAATCAAGCCTTATCGCCCTTGCGTTTCCGAGCAAATAAATGTTGAGGCCAAAAATGACCGATTTTCGACCAATCTTCTATGAAATTTTCATAGCTAATTCAGTCCAGCAGATAGGGTATTTATTAGAGACGCCCGGAGAACCAAAATTTGGGACATGAATCGCTCTGGCAACGAAAAATCAGCGAAAATAGCCAAGGGAGTGAGGGACTGCATTTCAAAAACATATTTTATATATATGGTATATAATTAATGCATATTACCGGTAAATTAACATTGACACTGTGAACACCAGTGTGAATGGTGTTTCTTACCTAGCTACTTACATCACTGGAGATTTTTCAAGGGAAATCTTGCTTTACTGGTGCACTTGAAAAAAAAAAACTGCACATGTTTTTGATTGTTTTCAGGCCCACTGGTTGGTTTTCCCGTACTTGATATTGATGTTGAACTTCATAGCCTTGACGTAGCAGCCGGGACGTCCTCAGCTATGGTATCAGCTTGTGCATCACAATGTTTGCATAAAGCACTACAGTCACATGGAACTCGACTACTGGAACCCATGATGTACCTTGAGGTAATATACGACCATTGTACATGTCATATAAGTACCATGTGTACAAAATTCACTTTGTTGATATTGCTTACTAAATTGCTTCAAAACAACCTTTTTTTTTTACAAAGATAAGATTGGATTACATTGTGAGAAATCATTGTGTACAGTTTGACAATGCATAGATTCTTATTTTCCCCCAATAAATATGAATGTGTAATAAAATAAGTTAGTTGGCTACTGTTGAAACATATTGCATGATTTTTTTTTCACTTTTACAATATGGATTTATTCCTCATCCTGCCAGTCTCATGTACTTTAACATCGACTTGACCAGATAAGAGTTAAAGCTGATGCTCACTAGAAAGAATCGTCACTGAACTACTTTTCGCACAAAAATGTGACAAAAACACCCACGCAAATTTTAAAGCAATTTAATATGGTTGCTCTGGTAAAAATGTTTTGTCTTATCTCAAAATTTTGTCCAGGTACGTATGGCGAAAATAAATATTTATTCATGTAATTAACGTTAGTTATAAGATTAGTACTCATAGACCATATATCTGAACTAACAATCCCACAATCCACTATAATTTAGAATTGCGTTTTGGTCTATGGTCGTCCTCTATTATTGTGAAATTCTGAGAAATACGATTTTATTTTGAAACGTGAAAATAGTTCTGAAAAGGCACACATGTGCATGTTTCAGAATTTTTTTTCAACAAAATCGTTTGTACTGCATAAAAAAGGCCAAATGTTATAACAGTTTTGAGACAAAAAGATATATTTTTTTTTTTCGTTCTTAATAATAAGTCTGTCAGCCTTTGTCACCTCTCACTAAATCTTCCATATTTTTTCCAAAATTCCGAGCGTTATTTGAAATGATATAAACTTGGTCGAAAATTTATGTTGAAATTATAGATAAATACAAAAATGTTTGCAAAATGATGCTTGACAGAAAAAATATGGCATTCATTGGTGAATCAATATATTTTGTATAACTTGTGAGCATTTGCTGTAAACAAACTGTTCTTGTGTACAGGTAACTACTGATGAGGAAAGACTTCACTCTGTACTAGGTGATCTATCAAAGAGGCGAGCACATGTACAGGACGTACAAAATAGATTAGACAGCCGATTGGTCATTGCACAGACACCCCTAGCTAAAATGATGGTGAGTAAATGTAAATTTGGTTTCTCATTTCTGTTCTTTTAGCTCTATCAGGGATTGTGAAATGGGGTTTTCAATGTTCACAACTCCAATTCGTGAGTCAGGATTGGGCAACAATGTATTGATCTGTGGCTGCCATCATGCCATACACATGTACATGTTTGAATTTTGTGTGTATGGGTCAAATCGCAAACGTGTGGTATGACGACTGCCAAGTTTCTGGTATTGCTGCAATATGTTCTATTGCGGCATGATTGTACATGCAGCATCAATTATAGACTCTAGTTGTAATTTGCATATTTTTGAAAAAAAATACAATGCACCACTCCTCATAACACAACTATTTATCTTGTATATGGTTTGGTTATTAAAATGACTCCCTAAGTTGATGGGGAAAACAAATTGTAATAGTTTTCACCAATTTAGGGAGTCTTTTCATAAACAAAACTTGAGACTAACCTTATAAATATTTTTAAAAATTAGTCTAATAATCTTTATTGCTAAAAATTGTGACGATATTCTAAACTTTTTGTTTCTGTTTCTATACATGTCATTCCTCTCATCCACACTGTGCTCCAGCCCTGATCACCATCCCAAACCTGACTATCAAACGTAGAACCAATTCACAAACACTTGAAATGAAATGATGTCTTCTTCCTTTCAGGGCTACACTACTGCTCTGCGAACCTTGACATCGGGGACAGCGACATGTTCGCTTCATTTGTCTCATTACGAACTGATGTCCACACAAGAACAGCTTAAAGTAGTCAACAAATTAGGTGGATTTTAACGTAATTGTTGACGCTGGATCATCTGCTTGAGATTATATTATATTTATATAGTTTGTTTGTTTGTTTGTTCATTACTACAATGAATTTCATGGAGGCATGAATATTTTCATTGATTATAGAAACAATTTGGTAATTATTATTACCCACACGTTTTCGCAAATTTTCTTCCCTGCCATGCATGAATAAATACATTGTAATTGGTCAATTATATCAAAAACATTCATGCCTTTATGAAATTCACTGTACAATCATCATTTGAAAGTTGGTCATCACAGCTGTGTGTGTGCGTGTGTGTGTGTGTGTGTGTTCGATAAGGGTCCCATATGTGTCAAGTCAATGCAAAGCTATTTACAACACTGTGCCTGATTGGCTACCCAACCCTAACACCTAACATTCTGACCAATCAGAGAGCAGCTTGTATGTTGACATATCAAATTCTGCAAATGTGTTGTTTATTTACACATTTGAACACACTGGACTATGATGACCAGCAATCTCTAAAGGATTCTTGGTTGTTTTATTGAAAAGACACAAATAAACACATCTCAAATATATATCTAACCATCATGATCGTTTTTGGGACTATTATAGAACTGTTTTACATTTATACAAATGAGGTGACAGTTGTTGCATGCATTTTGAATGGTTTGTTATGGTGAGAGAAGTTAATCAGTAATTCAGCTTAACACCCAAAGTTACAGTCAGCATCTGATACCATGTCCTTCAACCCTGTGACAAGCACAAGAAGCTGTTGATACCTGCACGCAACACATACTATAATTGTATATTAATTATATCATACTTTCATTTGAATTTTAACCATTTAAATAAACTATGATGTGCCTGAGGGGACATGCAAACATATGTACATTTCTTCTATACATTCAAATTCATTGGTGTCACAATTTTACAAATATGCAAAAACATTTTTTTTTTATATAACACTGTAGCAGTGTTTTTTATTTTTTAATGAAAGTAAAGCAGATTTTGGTTAAAAAGGGATGTTTAGAGTATATCATGTGATTATGTCCAACCTGACCATGAAAAACTGCACCTGCTTTGTGTGGCAGGTGTTGAAGCAGTAAGCCCATATATTGAAATTGCATTTCTTTCTAAGGTGGACAAAAATTGTATTTCCTCCTAAGCTGGACAAAAATAGTAATTACACATTGAAGAATATTATCCAGAGACGTAAACTTTACATGATAGCAAAAAGTTTATTTTTTTTTTCAAAACCTTGTACAATCTAATCCCTTCATTTACGCTACAACTAGATAAAATGATTGGACTTTAAATGATAAGTGTTCAAACACCTGTTGTAATCAGTTTGATGTAGAGGTGTGGTTTCCTCGTGGTGGTACCATACATTTACGTATTAGCACTGTCCCCTTCCATCAGTTATGTAAAGCAGTGTGGTCACAATGCATAACACTTTTGAATTACATTTAAATAAATAATTGAGTTCATGCATGTTGTATACGTCATATGGGACCCACATCAAACGTCATGCAATGTTCATTTCATAACAGAAGTATAACATGTTAAGGTGACTTTGAAGGGCTGATAATCATTAGATCCTGTGCTATACATGTACGCACACAGCATTGAAGGAAGATACCAGCAATCTGGTTCAAAGCCAAGTATCACAAGATGTAGATTTAGTTGGCTGGGACAGGATGGTACATACAAGTAAACCACCACAGAAAACCACATCGTATTTTGGATCCCTTAATCTTTCAACTAATACTCCAGCCACCAATTTTATCACCCCCCCCCCAAGTCACATTTCTGTATACATGCATAAACCCACTTCCCTAGTTCATTTATGCCATAAAAATAAATGTGCCTATTGGCTGATGCAGGTGAAAACTACAATACAAAGACACAGATTCATCCTAGAAAATTTTCTGTATAATAACATGATTGGCAAATTGTCACATGTAAAAATATTTGTATAAAAAAATCTTGGCATTTGTACATTAGCCAATGTTACAGACCTGTGCTTTTATATACAAGGTTTATTATCAAATACATTATAAGGAAGCCCATCACAATGATATGTATTTTACCTCAGCATAAATGAGAAAATCCTTTGACCCACAAGATGAGCATTAAAGAAATCAGATGCTGTTAAGTATGGTACTCTTCAAAAATTTACATCGGTGAAGTAAACAATTTTTCATTGTTTTTTTTGCTGATTAGTTTAGACAGCTTTTCCTGTTCCCAGCAAGGCCATTTCTATACATTGATCTTCAGACTGTAAACCACCTAATGACATTCTTAAATGAATGACAAGAACAGATCCGTATTTTCATCTTCACAAACTACCACCGTATTTATCACAAATTTGCATTGCAGCTATAAGTAGTTTAAAAAAAAAACAGAAGAAAAGAATAAAACTCCATAGAGGGCGCTGTGACTTGCAAATATGTCAGTAGTGAAATTGAGGCTTTAAACAAGTTGTACAGCAAGTTAACATTGGCCATAGCATTAAACCATACAAAGATGCTTATGTTATGACCAACTAACAACGTTCTGTGAAACCATTTATTTTCACTGGCATTTAATTTCACTGGATTTTAAGATAATGGAGTTGACAAGGGAATAGTGAGTTCTATTGTTATTTCACTTATAGCAGATTTCACTTATCGATGAAAATAGTGAAATTAAAAACCAGCGAGAATGCATGTATTTACAGTATATTGTGTACAATTCTTACCGGTGACCAATTCTGTCCCTTTTTACAAAATATTCTGTACAACTAAATGTTGGAAACTTTCAATCAAAATTTGCAAGAAATATCAAACTCAAACCAGCTTGAATTAAATAAGCAGTGAAAGAAAATCTGAAAGTTGTAACAAAAAAATTCAACTATACACATAAAATACAAATTACTATTTGGCTAATTCTCTTATTTTCATGCTGCTGGATTTACCCGACCCTTCCCTACCGAACATCACAAAATTTTAAATACCTGAGCCGGATATATTTATTATCTAGATTCAGCAAAAACACCACCAAACTATTCTGTTCAAAAAAAGGTGATATATTACTAGGCTCATTAAATCAAATCAAATCAAATCAATGGGTTAAAAGTCAAACTGTAACATACATATTGTGACTTTGAAAAACATGCAACTATGTGCACTGTAAAACATTTTTAGCTAGCTCGCTATTTTACCTAAATTAGCTACCCTGTAATTCAAAATGAAGCTAATTTAAAGCGAGGGAGTCGTCACCTACGCGTGTGTCAGGTGGCCATAGCATGTCATGAGCCTTTGCGTTCTTAGCGTGTGTTGTTATCATCGCTTGGGACTCAATTCCGCACGTCCGCAGGTGACGACCCTCTCGCTTTAACAGAAAGTATATTTTCACAATGAAGTTGTTGTGATACCTTATGTGAATTAAGATTCTGGTAATTCATGGATTGAGTCAATTTTGCTAAAATGGCATGTAGTATTTTACCGTATATTGTGAAAAACAAATAATGAATATCAATATAACTAAAAGAAGATGAAAGTCGCACTCGTCAAGTATCACAAATTTGAAATGCACGATGTATAGGCCACATGAGACCCATTTTAAATATGACGCAGTGCATTGACTGTGACAATTTAACCCTTATCCTGTTAGCCCCAAGTACTACTTTTACATTGACATGACCAGCTAAGGGTTAATACAATAGGTCAGCATTCTACAAAATAGTGTAGATTCATAGTAATTCCCATGAAATTTGTCCTGGTGAACGCTCTAAAATTATTTCCAATTTCATATGTTTTGCATTAGTAGCACATGTCCTTAAGTAAATGACAGAGTTGTGTCTATGGTAAAAATAAATTACACTTAAACCCTCTAAATGCCATAATATTTCGTGCTGAAATTTTGGTGTCCCAATTTGAACTTTTTATTTGTTAATTTTACACCAAATAATTATTAACTGCTATAGCTCTTGAGAACTTAGAAAGAACTCCCATGTGCTGAGAGATTTTGAAGGCATATGGAATAAACATAGGAAATATTTAAAATTAAAGAAAAACTAATATAGGCTGCTATTTGAGATGAACACAATGTGAAAATTTAACAATATTCACAGAAAATTCTTATTAAAACAAAAACATTTGATTGTGCAGTCTAACTTATTCCAGAGCACCTGTGCGACAAGTTTAATTTCAATCTGATTTTCTGAGTATGCACTAATTTCAATCCAAAACTAATCAGGTCTGTGCATTGTCCCTTGGCATCTATGTACCAAGTTTTTTTTTAAATGTAATAATTGGTTTTTGAGATATCGGTGGCAAAAATTTGATTATTAAGCAACTTAGATATTAATATGCACAGATTTAAACCCAAAAAAATCAGTTGTATGCATTGTCCCAATGCATCTATGTACCAAATGTTATTGAAATGCATTGATTGGTTCTCAAGATAATAGTGGGAGAAAGATACCAGTACATGCATACACACAGACAGGGTAACTGCAAAGACTTCCATTGTGTGCCTTGCATGGAGGTTTATTTTCTGTTAGATGACAAAAGTTGACTTTGTTGCTTAAAGCGTCAAATATTAAAGGGTTAATGATCCTGTATACATAGTTTATGTGCGCTTCTATTAGAGCGAATATTTTGAAGTGAATACGATAATCTGAAATAATGTTAATTTTTATGTTATTTTAAGCACATTATTTCAAAAAACAAAACTAAGAGTTTGACTGAAAACTCTTCATTCTTTAAATTATGGCATTACACTTTTTGATTGATTATTATTATGGCGACGTGATACATTAAAATCACTGATATGTTGAATTAAGTGCACATCCATGTGATATTAATGTTTTTATGTACCGAAACAAACTCCTAGAAGTACTCATACTCACCAGTGTATGAATAATGTGTGAATAAAGTACGAGTAAAAAATGTGTACAAAAAACATCAACATTCTTTGGGTCGATCATGATTACATCAACGATTAAGTTTTTGTTCACCCTTTTCTTAGATGGATTCGTATCCTTCTTCCTTCTTCCTTTGACATGTGACACATTCCCATGCATACTTGATGCCATCCTGCAAAAATATGAGAAAAAAACAACAACGTCATAGACAAAAGTGAAATGAAATGCAGTGTTTTCAAGTTGCATATTAGAAACTCAGTCTTGTAATGACAGAATTGTAACGTTAATAATGTCAAATATATGTCAGTCAGCAATCTGCAATCTGTAATATAACATGTATTGGTAAAGTTTGAATTTAATCGGTCCAGAGAAGTCAGAGATATGCTTTTGGAATAGCATTTTCAAAATCATAATGGCCACCAACCAGCCATTTTAAATCATATATCTGTAAAAACAAGATGTTCTTCTAACAAGATTCAAAATCCCACTATAAATGGCAGAAATACTTGATGCATTTTTAATTATGATGAAAATGGCAGAGAGTCGGCCATCTTGAATCAGATCCTAAAATGAATGCATGCGCATATGGATCGTAAGATTTATGTTTGTGTAAGGTGGGAATTACAATCAGCCTAGGCAGTTATTTTCTAAAGGTGTCCACAACACATGAATGTGTAAAACTTTTGAATAAATTGGTGTTTTCAAGACTTGATGTATACACACCATTTCATAAATGCATAAACGTTTTTTTTTTTAATGAAAATTTATACAATATTTATAAAACATTCATTGTGAAAAGATCTTAATGCTTCATTCATTTGGCTAAAGAAGACAATTGGTAATGTCCATTACCTATGAGTCTTTCCATGTATCCTGTGATCATTGACGGGTTTTATACTACTATGCATTTGGTTTTAATTGTTTTAAACAGTCATTTAAAAAACATTGATGCCTCTATGAAATAAGAGTGTAATAAGACAACTTACACTGATATATTCTGGAAGACTTGTCCAAAATTCATGATGCGGTAGAAGCTCCACTCCTTGGTGACCTTGGATTTTATTAATTAGAATTCCAATAATGAAGTACAATGCTATTGCAGGAATAAATCTGAAATAAAAAAAATGTACCGTAGGTTGATTATAGTTACTCGCATGAAAATTTACTAGCAGTATCATATGAAATATGTGCATGTTGCAGAAATGCGAGAACATTAAATCAAAGGATTTCCAGCGATTGTTCAACCCCACCTAAAATTTGTGGTTTCAATTACGGGCTCCACAAAAACAAGTGGGGCAGGTAGACACATTTTTGTTTAAACACTTTAAATTTTTAGGAAGTGAATTGTATAAAAACACTTTTCAGTAACCTTTGGTATTTTGTTGGCATGGTACATCATGGGAAAAAAAAAATCCTTGTTTTAGTTCTCTGTGCCAATGGAAGGGCACCCTCAAGTCAACACATTTTTTCGGCTTAAAAAGAAAACTAAATTGTTCTGAGTATTGCGTTTACACTGATCTGTAAAATTTGCTAAATTACAACAATATGATTATTGTACAACTACAATATAACTCATAATTTTTCTTGGAAAATCTAAGAATTTAAAACCCATTGAATATTCTCAAATATGAAAAGTGAAATTGTCAAGTTGTCAAGACGTGACACATAAGATATGGGTCCCTTACAACGTATACAATGCATGTAAATTACATTGTTTACTCAAAATTGAAATGCACACTGCTCTTAATTTTTTGCCAACCATTCATTCAAATTCCCTGACTGGCCTTGAGAGCGCAACAACGCTTTTTTTTGTAATAATTTTGATATCAATAATGTGTATGAGTGTGTGTGTGAGGGGGGGGGGGACACTTACATTATGAGAAGTATGGAGCCCGCACTAAGACTGCTACTGCTATCCTTCGGAACTGGTATAGGCTGCGGTGGTAAACATGCTCCTGAATAGCGCACTGTAATATTGTACTAAAATAAAAACAAAACAAAATTAAACAAAAATAATACAAGCATAGGCATAAAATGTTGAATATTTTTTCAGAGATTCACCATTGTGATTTACTAGCTCTTCTAAATACAACCTGAATAATCTAAACTAAGCTGTTATGCAACTTAGGTAATTTTGTATGCATAGATTTGAGCTAAAACAGATGAGGCCTTGCTGATTATTTGAAAGCACTTACAAACAATATTTCATAGAAATCATAGCACATGAGATATCGGTGAAAAAGACAGACACACCAGCAGGGTAAGCTCTGAATGTATGCATTATAAAACCTAACCTTTTTATGCACTATAAACCCTAACCTTTTCGCTCAAAAAGGAATATGATTTTAGAGAACCATGTGCTCGATAAAAACATTGATCTTAAATCAGGAACAATCTCATCAAAATTACAATGTAAACATTTCAGACAATGCTATTTTAGTAGCACATGTACTAAATTAAAATTACCGAGGTGTTTCTCTGGTCAAAATAAAGTCAAATTTTAATGATTCAGTATACAACAAATGTGATCTTTGGTGTACATGACCTTCATTTTAATATAGCAAATATTGTACTTTTATTTAGGAAAAAACACATCATACTCGGTGTTTTACTCATCTTTGTAAGGATAAATATGTTTTTGACTCCCATGTGCGAAGCACAAAATGGGAGTCTTTGCAGTTAGTGTGTCTGTATGTGTGTATGTGTGTATGTGTGTATGTGTGTGTGTGTATGTGTGTCCGACTGTTCCACTGCTATCTCAAGAACCATACATCGGTTTTTGATGAAACTTGGTGCATAGATGCTCTGGGCCAATGCGCAGATTTGATTAGGTTTTGGTAAAAATCCATGCTCGTTAATTACCTAATTTGCATGATAATTAGCTAATTTTTAGCTGTTCTATGACTGTTCCACTGATATCTAAACAACCACTCATTGGATTTTGATGAAACTTGGTACATAGATGCTCTGAACATATGCGCAGATTTGATTAATTTTTGGTAAAAATCCGTGCATATTAATTACCTAATTTGCATGATAATTAGCTATTTTTTAGTGGTTTCATGACT